ATAATCTAAATTCCCCTTAGGTGTGAATGTGTGAGTGAATGTTGCCCTGCGATGGACTGGCGACCCGTTCAGGGTGTACCCCTGCCTCTCGCCCAATCTACACTGGGATAGACATCGGCAGACCCCAAAAGGGAATAAGCGGGTTGGAAAATGAATGAAAAAACTTTTCAAATTGCTGAATTGAATTTAAATAATCCATCGTTTAATGCCAGAAACAGAGTTAAAAAGAGGATGATGTTCACCTGATGGTGAACCAGCAGGTTTCATATCTACTAATAGTTTTAGTATATCAAACATTGGGCACCAAAGCATTTTTACTGGGTACATCCTAGGACAAATCTGGTGAGGATGATCAACAACTCCAAGTTGATACCTGCCTAAAGCACTGCGAAGTCCTACAAACATACACAAGGTCAAACACAGATTTTAATATTTAAAGATTTTTTTTAATTCCCAAAATGCAATAACTCCATGGCACATTTCTCTCATAAAACGCAATAAATACAAGGAATCAATATCAATGTTTTTTTTTTTTTTCAAATGAAAATAAAATAACATCGATATTGCATCAAGTGACTGGTTCCAGAGTAGATTGGGTAAACAGTCTCAGAACCCATTCGCAGATATTGGACTCAATGCTACAAACCGCAGAGTTGTGCCCGTTTAAGTGATTCGGCATCCCGCAGTCTCTCTTTTCGCCTTTCGGGGACTTTGAGACGTCTCAGCTGGACTTTATTTAGCTGGAAAATGGCCTGATCCTGCTCTGATTATAAAATGATTCAAAACATTTACTGCAGATGACAGCAGGCTTTTGCCACCTCCTCAGCACCTCATGTTCTTTTCGCTGTGCTTGGTTCAATGGAGTTATGGCATTTTGTGAAAAAACTCAACAGGTGTTTATCATGGTTTGGAAAAAACTGACAGGCCAAGGTCTGCATTGCACGCACAAACTATGAGCTTATGACAAAAAGGCATTCAATATCCACTACACTTATTTCTGGAAAATGTACCTTTTCAAATAGTAAAAAAAAAAAAAATTCAATTGGCTGATTAAATAACTACAGGCATTGTCATTAGTGCTTTGAATAGATTTTAAAAATAGAGAATTTCTCAAATCCAATTACAATAACAATATGTTTTCTCGAAATCACACAGTCCAATACAGGAAATGTATAAAATTGGTCTTTTACGAAAAGTGCTTTTCTCTTTCTTCTGTAACATGCTTATCTTCAAAAAATGCTCCTCCGTCCCACACATTTCATTTCTTTTCAGCTGTTTGCTTGTTGCTCGACTTTGAGAGCTTATTAGGTTCATAATCACAGTGTTGCTGGACCATTTCTTTGGCAAGGGACTTTGTGTGGTCACACATTGATCTCCATGGAAACCTCTCTGCACCGTCCTCTACAGAGAAACAATTTCTGGCTGCCATGACAACAGCAATTGCAGTTGCGTGTCGAGATGATACGCTCATGGAATTTCAATTAACAGCACTTGATTTATACTAACTCATAATGCCTCGTGGACATTTAGAGACAAAATAGTGGACATGTGGCTCACCTGTCGAGGGATATGCAGCAGAGGTGTAAGATAGAGGCCGTGGTCAGAAGCACATCCAAAGAAGTGCGCACCAGACAGAAGGTCTCGCCGTAAATCCAACTCTGATGGATCAGTTCTATGGCACCAAACGGCATCACTAGCACTGACACAAGCAGGTCAGCAAATGCCAGAGAGACAATGAAGTAGTTGGTTTTGATTTTCCTGTAGAAAACAAGATTGTCTTTAACAAATTGAGACAGAGAATGTAGAAAAAGTTGAAAATGTTCAATATATGTTGAGTTTTAAAGGGTAATGCCAAATAAAGATAATATTACACCGTCATTTCACACCATTTTTTTGTGAAGTTGTTTTTTTCTAATCTGAGATTGTTTGAAGCTACCACAAAAACTAAAAATAGTCCAACTCACTGATGTAGTAAAAATGTAAAGGACTCCTTATAGCAAAGATGCAGGAATTTCATTAATTTAAAATGACACTTATTTATTAACAAATTATGTTGTTTTAGTAGAGTTCTGAACACATCATATGCAACTTTGCAAACTGTACTGTACTGCAGGGCTGTGCAGAGACCTTTGGAAGGACAGCCCAACAAACATCACCCTGACATCGACGTCAAATTGACGTCGAAATTCTGTCGGGGCTGTCCATATTAAAAATGCCTTTACATACAAATAGATGTCCGGGATTGCGTTCGCATGTTAATTTGTTGTCAATTTGAATCCTTATTAGAGTATGTTGAATAAAAGTGAATAATTCACCTTTGTGAACAAAATGTGATCACCCTTTTTGAAAAGCACATTATCTGAAATGACACCCCCGTACTGAGATTAGCATTTTATATCATGAAATACATTTCTTTCTGAGTTGTTTTCGGGTGCATGAAGCTGCACTTTGTGCGAGGCTGAACTTATTTGATGCTTCAAATCTTTTATTTGAAGTTAGTTCAGATAAGTGCGGGTAATCTCTTACATATGGGATTCAAATGAAGTCTGCAGATGATGGCCAATCATATAATCAGTGAAAAAGTGGGATTCGTCCAAAAGACGTCATCTTGAAGAGAAATGGAATTGACATTTCAATGGAATTAAAATGTTTGCTGGGAGGTGCTCGTGGTAAAAAAGGGGAAACACACATTTGAAAAACCACACAGAAAGACACAGGTGGAGGCTATGGCCTAAAATCAAGCTGTACATGAATTTTGATATAAAGATAATTTATTACATTAAATTTAAATCCGACACTGGACTATTTAAACTTAGGCGCTCTTCCTGGAGTCATTGTTTGTGTGTGTTAATCATATCAAATTAAATCAATTAAGAGGACCAAATTAAACAATTGACTGACACCTATTTATTTTGTCACAGATTTGTTTTTTTCTTTCTCACCTCATTATCACCAAATGCCATTTAATGTCAGATAATGAAATGTATTTATTAACAGAGACGCATTCATAAAACTAACCGTGAAACTAACTGAACATTAACATGAATAATTTCACAGCATCAAGCAGATTTTTTTTATTTATTTAGTCTCTCCTAAGAAGGCAGAACGAAATTTTATTGTTAAGCTACAACCTGATGCATGTAAACACACACATGCACAGTTATTTTCAGCAACCTTTTATCATTCCCAGTGATAATAATGAAGTACAAACAATATAACATAATAATAATAATAATAATAATAATAATAATAATAATAATAATAATAATAATAATATTATGCAATATAGAAATAGATTCTTCAAATATTTTGGGATTTTTATTAAGTTTGACAGATTTGTGCAGGGCAGCAAGGTTCCAAGTGACATGATTGGTATACATATACTTAGTGTTTAAATGTTATTAACAAAATGTTATTGATATGTTTATTAATAGGGAAATATTTAAATGATAGGTTGTGAAAACCACATGCCTCTAGAATAGAATCATAAGGAAAACACATCATAAAAATGATTAATTAAATGCTCACAACAAAAAAGACATGCAGAGACAAAAAAGAGGTTTAATAAACATTTGTACCGCATTATCAATATTGTATCAATAATGCTGATTTAATTTATAACTTTTTCACTTATTTTAACTAAATGGTGTAAATGTTTTAAAATCTGTCATTTAAATGGTGATTTAAAAGCTGAACGCTTACAAAACAGCGAAGCACCACGGTTGTCTTAGCAACGCTATAATAAAGCAGATCAGGGCAGTGAGGGTGCGTCCTGGATCACATGAGCGATCAAGGTACATCTAAATGGTTATTTTCATAGATATTAGGGGTGTAACGGTACGCTAAAATCGTATTCGGTTCGGTTCAGTGTCTTGAAGGTTAATTTTCGGTACAAAACAATAAGAACTTACATAATCTTTATTTTTAAAAGCTGCCAATACACAATAGAATTCTTGCATAAAATAAATAAAAGTGAAACATTTGGGTGATATTTTAAATAAATTGCACTCTATAAAGAAATACACATTTTTAAAATATCTCCAGCAGTAGAAAATGTTGATGTGTTGCCTGCCCGATCTCGGTGGAACAATGTCGGCATACAACTTTAAATTTATCCACTCGTCTATCCCCGTTATGTATTTTAACAGAGAAGCCAAAGTGTTCCCAAACAGGAGACCGTAGTGAGGTGGGAGGGTCTTCAAGCTCTGGCTTCTCTTTCGCTGTTGCCATTTCTCACAGCTAGTCAGCTACTCGTGCAGCTCTACTGTGCATCACTCAATAGCGTCCGTGCGGAAACTCGCCTAGGAACAATGTTCCGCTGCGCTTAATATCGCACTAATAATAAATTTATATCATTTAATAAAAAAAATATACAGAAACAGTACGCAAGTGTACCGAACCGAACAGGCCGCACCGAAACGGTTCAATACATCCCTGTGAACCGTTGCACCCCTAATAGATATGTATATCGTCATGGCGCCATCTTAGTACGGGACAGGAAAGTTTACCCCGACAAGTGTTCTTCAAAAGACTTAAACATGATATTGACACTAAATGCTCCTTTTGCCCCTGTGAGCATGAAACATCAGTTCACTTGTTTTGGAATTGCAGAAATACAAATGTTTCTTTGCTTTATTCAGCAGTTTGTGAATTTAACTTAAATTTTAAGTTTACTTGTAAAACTGTGTTATTTGGGTTCCACAATAGTGTTAAAAATGAAAATTAATCTCATCTTTCTCTTAGCCAAATACTACAAACATTAGTGTAATTTCTCCAATTGCAGGCCACCCTTCTCTGTATTTACATTGTAGCTGGAAGTTCTTCCTTGAACTCCAAAGCACTTTGAGATTTCTGAAGACCTTTGACCTTAATGGAATAACCTGAGTCCTTCTGTACTGTGTCTTTTTCCTTCATTCATTCATCTTCCAACTCACTTAATCCCTTTATGGGGTCGCGGGGGTCTGTCGGTGCCTACATCCAGGGCAAAATAGCTATCCCATTGTTCCCACCCAGTTTCGAACTTGAGACCTTTAGCATGTGAAGCAAATCTGAAAACCACTACACTACGGAAACTTACACTGTACTGTATCTACACATCGTTTTATGCTAATGTTATTATTTTTTATCTTTCCCTTGTTCAGCTGATAGTAATTGTATTGTGCCTTGAATTGTTCATTTAAAAAAATGGTTATTGTAAAATTATTTTATTATATTGAAATTTTATTATATTATTCAGTTGTTCTGCGTCTCACAAATGTTCTTCTGTGTGATCCTCCTATTTCGATTCGTCCGTCCACAACACTTTTTTCCAATCTTCCTCTGTCCAATGTCAGTGTTCTTTAGCCAATATTAATCTTTTTCGTTTATTGGCCAGTCTCAGATGTGGCTTTTTCTTTGCCACTCTACCCTGAAGGCCAGAGTCCCTTCACAATGTTGACACTTTAATGAAGCTGCAAGACGAGGCATCTATTTCTCAAGCTAGAGACTCTAATGTACTTATCTTCTTGCTCAGTTGTGCAGAGGGGTCTCCCACTTCTCTTTCTACTCTGGTTACTCTGGTTAGCGCTGTTCTCTGAAGGGAGTAGTACACACCGTTGAAGAAAATCTTCAGTTTCTTCACAATTTCTCACATGGAATAGCCTTCATTTCTAAGAACAATAATTGACTGTCGAGATTCACATGAGCCTTCTCTTTTTCTGGCCAATTTGAGCATTTTATCAACCCCACAAATGTGATGCTCCAGATACTCCACCTGCTCAAAGGAAGGTCAGTTTTATTGCTTCCGTAAGCAGCTAAACTCTTTTCAGCGGTGCTAACATGAAGCTCAAGGGTTTTCTGATGATAGCCTTCTGCCAGAGTGAGAGACACATTGTACCATTAGACACTGAAGTGATAGTTTCATAGGCTAGAATTTTTTTCTTCCAAAAATAAGGAAATTTCTAAGTGACCCTTTTGAAAGGTAGTGTATGTAGCATGTGTGATGTTTATGTAAATGTAAATTAAATGAATAAAATAATAGAAAATGGAAATGTAGTGAGTTATGGTTATTTTATTTGCTCAGCTTCAATTGGCCAGTGCCGTACTTGTCACTTGCCCGGTACTAAGATGACGGCTGCTATTTTAGTGAATTTTTAATTCAAAAAAGTTTTATTTTGGATAACACAGTCAGGCTTTCACACGCAATAACAATATTGAAAAAAAATCACCCCCCTGTACGTGCCTGCTGTACTGTGACAACTCCTTTTTAAAATGACTGATGTCTGAACACAGTGAGACTTCATAAAATGTGCATATTATTTTGATACTTTCTTTATTCTTGATACATTTCACACATGACAGCTGAGATCTGTGATGACGAGAATTTCACATTCATCATTAAGCCAATTACTTATTCAAAGTGTTATCTAGGTGTCTGCTAGGTCCTCTGCTCTGTGTGTGGTACATTGCTAATACGTTGTAATAATGTTCACTGGTCTTGAGAATGTCCAGAGCCATGGGCCGTCTATTAATATTTAATCAAACTTTTGCTTAAGTTTCTGAACACATTAATCTAACCATAGCGTACCGTGAGACATTAATGGGCTCAAATCATTGTCACGTAACAATAACTTGGAGTAAAACCTTCATACCAGGTGTCTCTTAACAATATAAATCTTTAAAAGCACTAAAAGGAGGGCACTGAATGGCTTTCATGCACATTTGATGCCAGTTACTAAGATTGATAAGCAACAGCCATCCAATAAAAATCCACTTTGAATGAAGTGGAAAGTAAAGAGGTTCCATATGTTGCATTCAGACCTGTATCTTCTTTTCAGTTCTTTAAACTTTATCTCTTGAAATACCTTCAATCTTCTTTAACACTGAGAATGTCGATTACTTTTTCAGATGACATCCATTGTCAGAAAGTTACAATGTTTGAACAAAAATGTATGAAGCAATGTGAAATGCAGGGCTTTAAGAGATAGAACTGACAGCGATAGGAAAATTTAGTAGAAAAAAAAAACATTAAATGGCATTTATGCAAAATCGACTTTTATTACATTCCTACCATATTTTAGTGCCGTTCCCCAACAAAAACATGCCTGAAGTTTTATTCAGAATCTGTCATAAGCATGTTTGTGTAATCATGTATTTTTGTGAGCAACACAAAACAAGCAACTCCCATAATTCTTACCTCCGCCCACCAACCAATCAGATTAATCAGTAGTACAGCTCATCTCTATGTAAATGGGGTGCGCTGCCTGACCTGAGAGTCAGAACCCGCAGACCCGCGCCGAAGAACAATGCAGATAAAGTGAGTTATTTGTTGATTTTAGACATTTTCTGACTGACAGTTGAGGTGCAGTGCTAGTATAGAAGGTACTTTAAAAGAACAGGTGAAATTTGATGTCTATGTATGCTTTCATTAAGATTATAATTTGTCATGTCTCTCTTAAAACAAAAAATTATAGTAATTGAGCCAGTTTGATTACCAGTTTAAAGCCGCTAAATGCTATTATTATTATTATTATTATTATTATTATTAATAATAGTGTAGCTACACCAAAGTGATTATTTTAAATTATGTTATTGAAATACTTTTTTCCCCATTGACTTACCTGAGGGGGTGGAGTTTAAAATATACAGCTGTACATAATTGAGGCACCATTGGCCATGTGAGACACGCTGGGCAAAATGGCACTAAAAAAAATTATTTACATTTTTTTACATTTACATTTATGTGTTTGGCAGAGGCTTTTATCCAAAGCGACTTACATTTGAATGAACATTTTTTTTCCTGTCAGTTCTTGCTTTTTAATCTGCAGATAACAAAGAAAATGCTCAAAACGCACTATAACTTTGATAATAATAAAAATATTATAAAAATTAATAATTGTAATTATACATTTTATTAATAATAATGCATGGAAGGGTACCGCTTAAAGGCATTCTCGATGACACTGCAGACCGGTTGTGCGCATGTGCAGAAATACCTTTCGCCAACTCTCTTAAAAACAAATTTTTCATTGATTTCCTGCGAGTTTAGGACTGGTATTAACATTTAAACATAGGTGGAATGAAAGTTTTATTAGGAGGTTTGTTTTGATTTTGTGGCAAACATAAGTTTAATATCAGTGAGGGCTGGTAAATCTAACGGGGTAGCTGGTCAGAGCGACCCCGGTGTCACAGATGTCAACCGCAGACCGACGTCAGTCTGTAATCCATGTGGAGAGCAAGATGTTGAGTTGCTATGTTAAAACTGCTGCTCGCTGTGTTTCTTAAAATATGGAAAAAGCGAGGGGCGGAAGGTGAGCCGTGCACATGACCGTTCTGAGAAGTCAACTGAAGATTCGTGTGAATCTCATTTTTTTGCATCAGGATTTTGCAACACTCCATCGTATTTTACTTAGAAGAAGATCGTCTGGATTACTTTTTGCCTTATGCATAACCTGGAAAACATCAACCAGAAACATGTGTGCACCCTGCCCTGAGCGCTATCTTGTTCATCTAGTCCATTGCATACAAACCCTTCATGTATAAGACTAACAATCATTTTAAGTTTAGCAAGAGCTAGATCTCAGCAGACAGTAATTTACCTTTGTAGGCAAAAGTATTATAATTGTCTTTATTTACACCATGAAAATAAAGATGAACTACTGTTGGAAACAGTGGTAATGTGAGTTACCTTTGAGTCGATCAGCAGGTAAATGTTAAATAAAGTGTAATAACTGTAAGGAGAAAGGAACCGCTCCTGACCTGAGCTGCCGGTCCTTGCAGACGGCCACCATGACCAACAGGTTGCCCAGGACACTCATGAGCATGACCAGCGATAGGAAGCTGATGAGAGCAACCCTCTTTGCCAAGCCGTTGCTGTGGTAACAGAGAGATGACAGACACTTATTGCAAACCACTCAATTCTAAAGAATGGCGAAACTACTGAGAGGTGTCACGGGCTCAAAGGTGAGTCATTAGGACGACAATAGCATAGACATAACTGACAGAGCTTGAACACTTTCTTTAATCCTGTTTAATGCATACAAAGTGCATTTGATTTGCTAATTATTATATGTTGACATTCAAGAAGGTTTTGGCTCTTCAATTCCCATGGAAACAGCGGCGTAAGAGAATTGCCCAGGAATAGAAATAACATTGCCCACACTGTGTGGCCAAAAAAAAAAATCCCCTGAGTGATTCGATCTTGTGAAAAGGGTTTTTTGATGATATTGTCATCAGAAATCTTACAGAAATGTAATAAAATGTCTCTTGTGTATAAATGTCTAGAAAACTCTATGTCTGCTACATACACTCTTCTATTTCTGTCTTGATCAATTTACCAATGTAACAATGTTGAAAAGCCAAAACTAGAGTTCCTGTTCAAAATCTGAAAGCACAGAATCTGGAATCCTTTAGGCTTTCACCAATGCAATTCAATTTTATATATTTTTTTGGTTTTGACAGTGCGCAGATTGAGATAAACTAGAGAGATAACAGAAATAATTCACAAAGATACTTCTGCTTAAGATTTCACGTATACAAATTTAATATTCAAGCGTAATTTTCATTTTTAATATTAGTTTGTAAGTGTTAATTAGCCTATATGTATTAGAGCTTTTGAAAAAAAAAATAAAATAAAGTTACTCTACTGCGATGGACTGGCGCTTGTCAAGGGTGTACCCAAACACTAGTGGTTTGCAAAGAATAGTAGACAAGACTGATATGAGGATCACTCTTTTGTTGGTGTACTATCTGGGAACTTTCACTGTTGCTGACCCATTAATGATGTTTTATTTGATAACAGGTCGAACACTTGCACACACCAATCATACAGTCAGAATACACTGTCGTTTTTATTTTTTTTCTCATAAATTCTTCACGTCCTTGTCATTGACTCACCACAACACCATGACTCTGCAGCTCCCAGCTATTGTGAGGATGAAGGGCTGACTAACATCTGCAGGTACTGGAGAGGACACTGTTTAAGGGTTTGAAGGTGGTCTGACATTCGTTTGTCCAATAAAAAACAACCTTCTTCCCCTCCCTGTCAACAAGAGCATGAGGGGCTAGAGATAACCTGGAATTTCCAAAACCATAGT